AAGGCCATGCAACCCAGGGACAGAGCTGATGGCCAGATATGGCCAGCACACTCCAAAGCTGGAGAAAGAATTTTTCTAAAGTCCAAACTCTCCTTTGTGAAGAGGAGGAAGAGGGGTGGAACACCTTGCCGCTGGAGGAAAGGCTCCAGGACACCTACCCCAGCACTTTCTAGCTCCTTCTATTGCCCCACACTAAGCGAATCACCATTTTGCCTCATGCTGCTTCATACTTGAAATTCTGACGTGCTATTCCTAGATGTCATACTATCCACCTACCGCAAATATCTAACATCTTCGATAACTCAATATTAGCCCTAATTAAGTCTCAGATAGAACGCTATCTGAGGCCACATGCTATGTCACCCAGTACGAGGCTTTACATTAAGGACACCTTATAATACAATATAATACCACAAGCCGCGTTCATCCCTTCCTGCCCAGGCATTTCCCAGTTCATAGCTTTGGACCCCATTAGAGGAAATCAATTTTATGCACATTTATAATATGCCTACATATAAGTTCTAATAAAAATTATATACTATAATGTTATGCAATATGTAATTTTAGAAGATATACTTCTTTGTGTGCGTATGTATAGGTACACATTGTGTTTCACTGTGCTTGTGTGTGCATGTGTCTGCCTGCGGAGAACAGAAGACAGTGTCCTGTATTGTGTGTCTCAGAAGCCATCCGTCTTTTCTTTTCTTTCTTTCTTTCTTTCTTTCTTTCTTTCTTTCTTTCTTTCTTTCTTTCTTTTTTTTTTTTTTTGAGACAGGGTCATTCCTTAGCCTGGAACTCATCTATGTGCTTAGGCAGGGTGGCCGCAGGGATCCTCCTGCCTCTGATTCCCCAGGGCTGGGATCACACACATGCACCATTGTGCCTGGCTTTGTAATATAGGTCCTGGGGATCGAACTCAGGTCCTCACATTTATAAGGCAAGCATTTTTTTTTCCTATCTGAACCATCTCTCTAGGCCCTATTATCTAATTTATACACAATCCATAATATTTTTAAAGATTCACTTTTATTATTTCTAACCATGTGTGTGTGTGTGAGTGTGCAGTGCACATGTGTATGACGTGTGCACATGTGTATGACGTGTGCACATGCATGCAGGTACCTTCAGAGGCCAGAGGCATCTGATTCCCCCTAAAGCTGAAATTTCAGGGGCGTGTGAGCTGCCCAACATAGGTGCTGGGAATGGAGCTGCCATAGTCTAAGAACAATTGGGTTCTTAACCAACACTGAGCCATCTTTCCAGCCCCATAAGATATAATTATGCTATATAATTCTTACATACTACATAGTTCTCACATATATAATTCTTACATCATTTTATGTAAATATACCGATAATAAGGTTCCTAGAACAATCTACAGCATGAGCGTAGCTTACTGCCCCTTCCTACACATTGAATTTAGAAGCAGGAAGCATACTTACCAAGATCAGCCTTCTCCTTAAGAACGTCTTTGAAGTTGAGTCCACTGTTGAGGGTTGACTGCCTGTACCTGAGCAGAGCCTCCTTCTGTCCATTTCTTCCAAACGCCTCTGTTTTTACCGGTGTGGCTCGGAGCCCACACCTCCACTTGGAGAAATCAGAATGCGCCCATTTGACCAGGTCTTCTAATTTTACGATCACCTTTTCGGAGACGGCGATGACCTCATCCTACAAGAAGTGGGATGAGCAGAAAATGTTACTCTGGGTTTGAGGGAAGTGATCCATTCTCAGCAAAGCCCACTTGGAAGCCACAGGGACGATCTTACCTTCAGCAAGTGGGCTAACCTTGGACAAGCAGACAATGTGTAACCGTTAGGATGAGAAGCGTCCCATGAGCTCAGTTCAGCTCACTCACTGGCTTTCCAGGCCTCTTTATTTAAAGAATAATTGATATGACATGTTCGCTATGAGCTAGGAGGTCTACAAAAATAAGGCAGTGATTGTAAGAGGCATTTTAAACGCCAGCCACAGAGCCCATCTACCTATCTAACTCTTTGAGTGAAAGCTAATTTTTAGACACAATTAATAGCGAATGTAAAACGGGAGACTGGATGACTAATGGTTAGTCTCCATATAAATGGCCTAAGTAAATCTAGAATTCTTGGAACTCTGACTCACCCCCAAATTCCTATGTTTATGGTACATTTTCCCTTGGCTTATACACAAATATTGAATTTAACTTTTGTCCTAAAAATTAAATAAAACTGTGACGTAATCCCCAAAGAAATACTTCATAAATGTTATGTGCTTCCCACTGAAAGCAACCGACACATTCTCGTGTTTCTGCAAAACTTTGCAAGCTGAGAAATGAGTGGACTTTTTTTTTCTCTTTTAATACATATGGCTGGGAGGGGGCAGGAGGGCGGTGAGAAAGCCTTTGAATCTAAGAAAAGTCGTTGAAGCTTCAGTTCCTCCCAAGGATCATAAATTTGAATTTTAAGCATCTCTAATTGCTTCCAGGAAACAAGTTTTCTGCCTCAGAATTAACCCAGCAAGATATTTAGTAGATATCTCTATGAAGAACAAAGAGGGGCCCCCCTAGCCCAGAGATTCTCTGGAAAAGGCTTATGGATCTCCTCTCCCGGGCTCTAATGAACTTATTTGAAGCATTTGACATTTTAACTTGAACTGAATTTTTTTTTTGACTGAACCTTTCTGAAGAAGGCTTAGCCGTGAAAAACCCCTAAAGCTTACAGAAATTTTCAAAATAGTTCTGACAAAACACCAACAGGAAGACGTCTCTAAGCTATTAGACAAAAAGAAATTCACAACGGAACTTGGCTAATTTTGCTCTTAAATATGACTCTCTCTTCCCTACCCTGCCTACACACGTACAAACACACACTCTCACGACCCATACACACCACATACCACATACACACCAGATATACTCCACACACACCACACACACACATAGACACACCCTACCACACACAGACATTACACACACATCATACACACCACATTTTACACATACACACATCACAACCTACTCCCTACCCCCTACACACACACACACACACACACACACACACACACACCGCTCCAATGCAAACAAAAAGGTTTTTTTATTAAAGATCATGTTTACATAGCAAAGAGCACTCAGTTTTGTTATTTTAAATGGTTTAAGGTAAGAGGTAAATTTTGCTTTTCCTTGTCCGGTTCAGGACTGCTTCTGAGAAAAAGAAGTTTCTTACAGAGAGCAGTCATAAGGGCTCTCTCAAGAATGGAAAACAAGACTGGGTAACGGGATCCTTTCTCTTATCTTGATCAAATATGAACTTCCAGTAAAGGCAGACAAAGTGGAAATTGTGTTTTAACCTTCTTCTCGAGAAAATACCTCAAGACTTCATAAACTAGGGGGCACATGACAAAATGCCATTTGCAGGGCTGACTTCATCCACAATCACCACACCAACTTCTTGAAATAGATCTCTCCTCATCCTGCATTTTATAACTATTACAAGATGATTATGAAATACTAGAATAAAAAAAATCCAGGCTAGGTATTGTTTCAAGCATATGGGAATGGCTTCTGGGATGGGGAATGGGAATATGTACACCAGCCACAGCATTTAGAATATTCTGGAAAATAATTAAGTAGCACGGTATATTAGCCTCCACTTTAGCACAGATGGAATTTGGCAACGTTTTGACCAAATAAGGCTTCCTAGAATAGACAAGTTTGGAGATGAGTGTTATTCTCAAATAGCCCTGTGATCAAACGATTATCGTTTCAATTACCAGTTGCTTCAGATCTTTTCCGAGAAATGACATGACTAGCCCTGGCTGCCTTACAGCACCCGCCGAACAAATAGTTTATTAACCAAGAGAAAATACAATCCTTATGATGTCATTAATGAATAAACTTGTCTTTCAAGATCGTCTCTATAGATTTGACCTCAACTTTCTCTCCCTTCCCCTCTTACACACACAGAAAGAGAGAAAGAGAGAGAGGAATTCACCAAACATATAAATCAAAAACCCGAGTTGGAATTAATTGTGAACACAGCCAAGGGCTTTGTGTGGATTTAGAGAGACACTGTCTCTTCCCCATTGTTAAACGCCAGGATTTTGAAGGAAATCTGATAAGAACGGGAAACAGCATACAACCCTCTGAAACAAAGCAGCCCACATGGACATGGAAAATGTGTCAGGAAACCTTACTTTGGGCTCACAATGGCGCCTGTCACATGGTCATACTCATTATTCTGAGTCAGTGCTAACTAACTTTCTCACAGTGCCGGTCCTCGGGCAAGTCTGTGTGCCTATGAAAAGAATCCCAGTAAGCTCATGCCATGATTACACGAGCTCTCTGCAAACTGAGAATTAGTACTGAATAAATATCCCTGGTTTACTCTAATACAACACAAAAGGATCACAAAGAAATACATGTCGTTATTCTGTTAATGGACCCTGACTTTTCAATTAACCCAGCGTTTAATCAATATTTATGTAGGACGCGTTAAGACAGTCACTATGTCCTCTCCCCCTTCATCACTGTTTTCAACTCTTTCTGTAATTGGGATTTCATTCCGACCACTTTTACAAAACCATTTCATTTAAGCATGAACTCTCTTAAGTCAGAGGAGACAATCTGGGCCAGAAGCCACAGAACAGCCAACTCAGTGCCATGGCTGGCCCCTGCACACATTACAAACGTAGGAAAATTTACACACAAAAATCTAGACTTTAATCTTCTCTTATACAACAAAATAAGGAAGGAGATAGAAAAAAAAAAGGAACAAGTCAACCAAAACCAACAACAGAAACCACCAGAAACTGAACAACACACGCTTTCTTTTTCAACTTGAGAAATCCCCTCTAGGCTGAGTTCCATCCAGTTGTCGTCCCCTGATGTGTTCAGCCTAACCCGAACACCATCTAGTTCAGTGGCCACGTCTTGATTGGATCCCTCTCCCTTGTGTACCTGAGGGACCTGGAGGTCAGTGACATAACTTAGTGTTGACTCACCTCAGGTGTGGATGGTAACCCAGGTTTCCTCTCTGCTGACTGCAGCCAAGGGGCCTAGGTTCAAATCCCAAGCCTGGAATTTGTTGCTAGGAAACACTGAGCCACTTCTTTACTTCCTGGGCGTCAATGATTTTGAGACATATTTTCTTTTAAAGGGTGATACCAGCTCCTTGCCACAGTCAATGTCATGATTCCCAGAGGTGACACTAAGAGTTTATCGGAGTCAGTCACATGTGACCATTTCCCTACCAGTGTGTCTTCCAAACTGTGACACGAAGAGACGAATTTAGATGATTCATAGAAACACACATACACACACACACAAACACACAATGCATTTGAAACAATGATGAAAGGGGGAAGGATCTAATGAGTATCTTACTGTGACTCACATAAGCATTGATTAAAAACTAGTTTAATTTCAAAGCCAGGGTGTGTGTGTGTGTGTGTGTGTGTGTGTATACACATATAATTTAGCAAAGAGAAATGTGTTCCATATATTATATCACATAATTCCTTGCTTAATTATTTTGTGATTATTTTAATTACTGGAAATTGATACTTTTTTCCTGGCTGTGTGAAACATAGAAAGTTTCTTCTTTCAATAAATTTAATTTTTGAAAAAGGATCAATTTGAGCAGAGTCCTGACGCAAACTCAGGGGCCATGCGGACATGGGAAAGAAAATGACTAAAATATGGGGTCGCGCATTATATCTGAGATTCTCAACGGACAGCCCAGGAGCCCCTGGGAATCCCTGGCCACTTCAGGGGATCCACAGCGTCCAATCTAAAATCACCACCATCACATGAGTTGTTGGCTTTTTTTTTCTCTCTCTCTCTCTCTAGCTCGCTCTCCTTCAAGAGCGTCGAGGGGTTTCCCTGAGCCTGTAGCACATGGCAGGTGTCACAACAGACTAATTGCAGAAGCAGGTACGAGATCTAGCAGGAAGTAGCTAGGTGGTAAAGAGATGAACGCCAAGTGCAAAGCTGTGTACTGTTCTCATTAAACCTTTAGTTTTCGAGACAACATTACATCATATCCAACTGCCACAAAAATGCTGCATGGTCACAAACTTCTTCACAGACTCTTACAGCCACCATCATTGTCATCAGCATACGAGAAATACTCTCATCTTAGACAGCCTGCTCCTCTTTCATGGTCATTACAATTTATCTCACCAACTTGTGGTAGCTACTATATTAAGCGTTATACACATTGACCCATGCCATATAACGCCTTGTGAGCCACCCATGTCGTTACTTGAAGAGACAGCATGAATTTCTGGTGAATACTGTCCACTGGGTGGACGACCACAAAGTTTCGTTCAACTGTTCACAGGCAGAGGGGCAGCGGGGATGTTCCGATTTGGAAAATGGACAAACAGAACTGCTATTTTCTTCCATGCCCAGGTCTTCTTCATGCAAACCTACCTTCTCAGTTCTCTTATCTATCTATCTATCTATCTATCTATCTATCTATCTATCTATCTATCTATCTATCTATCTATCTATCCATCCATCCATCCATCCATCTATCGTTGGAGCAACCGCCCCTGTGTTTTCTGGGATGTCTCTACCTTGTTGCTTTTCCACAGGTAGTTACTCTTCCTTTGCCATCACCTTGTTACTGCCATTGCTAATTAACTTCACGCACAGTGGTTTCTCACATCTTGTCGGTTTCCAGTTCCATTTC